GAAAGGCTAATCTGAATCTATGCTATATATATATATATATTTAAGAACTGTTTACATGGTAATCCTAGATTATAATTATTATTTTTTCCACTCTTAGTTGTTGAACTGCAAAGAGATTTATTGGGTCCTTACATTAATAGTTCATTAAAATATTTTAATATATAAAATGTTTATTCTTTCAATTTTTTAAAAAAAATTATACAATTTTTTTTTCTTTCCTACACTAATTGTTAACGTTGTAAAAAAAATTAATTAAACGTGTTATCACTGTCATAAGAAATTAGATAAAAGGTGTATTGATTTGAGTAAAGAAATTTTAAATTCTGTTTTGTTAAAAAATAATTGCATACAATATTTGAATTTAAACATTCAACATATATAAGATATTTCTTACGAAAAATCAAACATTCTATTATTTCATTATAACCAATGATTTTATGTTTGAGTATCGAGTATGTAATTGTGTTATATATTTAGGAAAATAGTTTTTCTCTTCATGGTGATTATGCTTGATGGATTGCTTCCTATAGATGATATATGTGATTTTAAAAAAAAAAAATTACGTGATTAAGTAATCATTAATAGAAAATTTATATTCTTGGAGCATATAATCTTAAATTTTCTAGAAGTTCATGTGGGATATGAAAAATAAAAAGTTACAGATACTGGGGATTTTTACCTTCAGTACGTACGTAGCCATTTAGAGAGTAATTAATTGGTGTCTTCCTTTGTGGGTAAGGGATAGTCTAAATATTTGTGTTTAAACGGGAAATGAAGTTTCTTGGTTATGCCTTGTAGTTAAAATATGAAGACCATTCCACTTATTACAAATCTTTCAAAAGGCATTGAACAACATTTTCTTCTCTGGTACAAAGATACCATAAAATATTGATGCAAGAGCCAATTAAGTTGTGGACACTGTCCTTTTTCTCTCATGTGAAAGGATATACATTACTGTATTTACAAGCACTCTAATAAAATACTATAGTGGGTCCATGTTTGTATTATATAAGTTTCGCGTCATGATTGGGGATGTCAGAACACATGATACGCGTTTCAGGTCCCTGTATTAATACCAAGGAACCCTATTTTCTTTTGCCACTTGGGTCTCTGAAAAAGATATTCCAACACCATGGTGAGGGCACCTTATTTTGATAAAAATGGAATAAAGAAAGGTGCATGGAGTGAAGAAGAGGATAAGAGGCTCACAGCTTACGTTGAGAGACATGGACATCCTAATTGGCGTCAGTTACCAAAGTTTGCAGGTAGATAAATTTTAGTGTCATTCAATCATTTATGAGATCAGAAAATTGTCAATTGGATTTGGTCATGCTGTTTATTTGTCTTGTGATTAATTACCCATCTCTGTAACAGGGTTGGCTAGATGTGGAAAGAGTTGCAGACTTCGTTGGATGAATTATCTCAGGCCAAATCTAAAACGAGGGAACTATACCCAGAAGGAAGAGCAAATAATCACGGATTTGCATAAAAAGCTTGGAAATAAGTATGGAATTTTGTTATATTTTCTCTGTTTTATTATTGTGTGTCTTATTACTATTTTGTTTTTTTTAGTATTTATAATTTTCTTTATCCATCATAATTATAATTGAACTCAAAATCTTATACATTCTATTTCAATTTCTTATCACTACACAAATCATAGTAGTTTTTATAAAATAATATGAGACCTTTTAGTTTATGGAGAAATATTGATCAAATCATCATTTAATTTAATAGAAGATATTTAGTAATTAAGTTCAACTCAATTTTATATATAAAAAAAAGTATCTTGACTTATATATTATATTTTGATGATATGATTAAATCATGTAAGATACCCTATTGGACATATGTAATTGTTGGAGAATTTTTGATTATGAGAATTCAAGAATTGGGTTTGATGTTTTGTGACAGATGGTCTCTGATTGCTGAAAATCTACCGGGAAGAACAGACAACGAGATAAAGAACTATTGGCACAGCCACCTAAAGAAGTTCTCAAAGGGAAACGAGAACACCCCATGTGATGATGAGTTGAAGTGCACTGAATTTGAAAGGCCAATGGAAGAGGGTCTTAGTGGCGATTCCCACCACATTTTGGAGAGTTCAGTGTCCATTTCTTCTGAAACTTCCTACAGTGAAGATAACAATTCACCTTCATTTTCCTCTTGTCACGCCTTGAACTTGTGCAAGGAAGAAGACAGTGTTGCTTCGTGGGAAACATTCGATGGACTTAGTAGCAGTTTTTGGACTCAACCCTTTATTTCCGAAAACGCACTTAGCGATCAGGACTACTTTCCCATTTCCTCTTACGGAACAGAACCATTTTTCTTATGGTAGTGTTACCAAATGCTCTTGCACTTTTGCTCCTATGTTCTTAATATTTGAGGAATTTTGGGGAACCTAGTCACCTGTTATTTCTTCTGTTCCAAAAGAAGGAAGAAAAAAAAAAACAAAAGAGGTTTGTGTCAGCTTTGTTTTTCAGAACAAACACTGTTAAAGAGAGAATCTCATGTATTTTATACACGATACTGTGAATTACACAACTAATTGCATATAATTTTGAGATAACACAGTTTTTACACTATTAACTAATTAAAAGTTATGTTAATATAAGAAAATAACTTTATCATACACGATAATTCATATTTAAATGATATCATAGAAAGTTTTAAATATTTTAATTGAATTCTATATAAATAGTGCAAATAAAATAATTACAACACTTTCAAAAGTACCACCATAGCAATCTACAGAGCAAAACTGCAATTCTTGATAAGGAGAAAACTGTTATGCCTGCTAAAAAAACCATAATGAATGAGTATTTCTCTCTCTCTCTATTCTTTTTGGTGTATATTTCTCTACTTTTAAAACCTTATTTTTATTTTTCTTTCTAATACATCATATGATCTATTATATTTACAATTCTCACTTCTTTCTCTTCTTCTATTGCTAATCATTTTTGAAAGAAAACTGGAAGAACTGTTATGCCAGCAAACTTTCCCAACAGCCTTGCAAGTATGAACGATTTATCATATATTTTTATTTGAATTTGAACAATATCTTTGATACACTGTTATTACTAAAGAACAAAACAAAATTTTGAGATTAGTGCTTGTCAGTTTTCATGGTCGAAAGTTTTGGGGTGACCAACAATATGAGGACCCACAATGGAGCAAAGTGCCCCCAGTGACGGAGTCTCCACCAAAACACATCTTCAGCTCTTATCACGATACAAATTCTAAACCAGTCCACATTGAAAGACAACTTTTCTTTTTTCTATCTGTGTGAAAATTTATGACGACAGAAATAAAGTTTAAATTTTAAAATTTTTATAATCCACTACTTATAATTAATTTAAGAAAAATAAATAAATAAGCATTATATTAAAAGAGAAATTAACAGTACAGCAAAATGTAATTTTTTTTTTTTTACACTTGAAAAGTCAAAGCGGAAGAGAGAACCCAAAAAACAGTTTGAGGACGAAAGAGTCAGAAAAACAATTAAAACAAGGAATATTTTTGTTTATTTGCCTTTTTACAGCAAGAAGTATTTTTGTTAAAAGGCACGAACTATGCTTAAAATCAGAAATTGAACCGACACTGATTGTGTAATAAAACAGAACTAAGACACGATAAAGTTGGAAATCAATGAAAATTTGCACAGATAAAAATGGTTATAAAATTTGAATTTAAATTATCAACACATAAATATATCCAATTTATAGTATTATTTTTAAATTAAAATGTCTCTAATTAAAATATGTTTTTTTTTTAAATTTATTAAAATACATTAATTATAGAATCTTATAAAGGCGTACATTCTAATTAGTTAGAAGAGTAAATAATATTATCTTTGTCCTTTTGTAATAGTTGTTTAAGGTTGTTTTATACAAATGTAATACATTTTTTCTATTTTTCATAAAATGATTAATTTTTATGGTTTTTATTATACTTTTTTCATTTTTACTTCATGATAAATGTATATTAGTTATCATGTGCAACTTAATTAAAAGTTAGATGAGATATAAGAGTTTAATTGATAATATAATAAAATGACAAATAAATATAAAAAAAATAATAAAAATCCAAAAGATAAAGACGAAGGGAGGGATTAATATTAATTATGTGAGAGAAATAATATATAGCATGCATTCTAATTAGTTATAAGATAGATAAATATTAATTAAGAGAAAATTAGTATAACGGTAATTTTGATAAATAAAAAACAAGACACTCTAATTGGTTATAAGAGAAAGAAATATTAGTTAAGAGAGAAAAATAGTACAATGAATAATTTTGAAAAAAAAAATATAAAAATAAGACAAATTCATTGTTACTAACTAAATTAACTACTTTTATTAATATTGGTGAATTAGATATTTGAGTCTTATATACAAACCAAACAAACTACCTTTTCAATAGTTTGTTTTTAGGATATTATTCACAAACTAAACAAAGTACCTAATATATATTTTTTAATTTCTCATAAAATTATTTCAATCTTTTTCATTATACTCCTTTCATTTTTGTTTTTGTAATACATGTATATTAATTCTTAATGTATAAATTAATTAAAAATTATTGATGTTCTAACAAACATACCAAATCTACTATAAACCCTAAACCCTAAATATTTACATAAGTTTAAACATTAAATTGTTAGAAAAAGATGACTAATCTAAGAGAAGGGAGGTGAATTGAATTTACATAAATTCTTTTCAACTTTTCTTGGATAAAAACTTTTTCTATTTATTTTCACATGAACCAATTAATCTAAACCATAGTGAAATGAATATGCTGAAAATTTACTAATACAAGTTATGAAACTACCCTACATGCTATGTTTTTAACACAATATACAAATTAATCAAATGTATTTAGATTAAGTAAAATTTAAGTACGTGTAAGAGAAACTTACACAAAGATTTAAACTAGCTAGTTCAACCACTATATTACTATGTTATACATCCAGTCCCCAAATCAACTCGATTGAATATTTTCACTAATCTTTAATTTTCATAATGTTTACAATCACAAATCACATGCAATACACTTCAACGAAATTAAAAAAAAAATCACTTCTTGAACCCCAAAAAAACAACACTTATAGAACTCTACTACAAGAAACCTTTTCACTTTTAAGGAACCTACTCAAGAACTTTTCTACCTTGAGAAACTTACTCAATACATACAAAAAGACTTAGCTCAAATTAAAGACTAAACCATTAAGCTATAAAACCATTAAACACTTAGCTCACTTGATGTACAAAACAAATTGAACAGGTATAAAGACTAAACCATTAAGCTATAACTCTTCAAGTAGATTGATGATGATGATTCAACTCTCTTGATTCATACTAAAGATTCCCACACAAGGTAACACACCTATCTTGTCAAGAAAACTTAGCTCAAATTAAAGCTCACTCAATCATTTAGAATTCACAAAAGTTTAGTTCTCTCTAAGTTTTGAAAATGAAAAAATTTATATAGTTTCCTTTTTTAAATAATCGAATATTTTGATGAATAATTCATTATTTTTTTCTTCATTAATATGAATACTTACCAAGAACAAGTTAATTGATTATGAGAATAATCGATTATTACAACAGTTGTTTCTCAAATTACTGAAAAATAGAGCAAATAATCAATTATTACTAAAGATAATCAATTATTTTGAGTAAAAACTCAATACTTTAATTTTTTACTCTAGATATTTTCTATATCAACTTTAAACCTCATCATTATTAATGCAAATCATCAACCATCAACTTATATGAAGAATAATAGACTAGGCAATGATTTAGCATCTAAGTACAAAATTAAACCATGCACAAAGTAAATCACACTATACAAATTTACAAGTTGCACTCTTAATCATCAAGAAGCTTATACATATACATTTGTAATCAACAAAATATAAGAGCTTCTTCCTGATATTGATCAACATAAACTAATAACCAAGCAAGTATAAAAATAGAAATATAAAGTTAATGAGAAAATAGTGAGAATGATTATTAGGATTGAATTTCATCTATCTCACTCCTCTGTGCTCTAAAGATTCTTTGCATATGATTCCTATCACTTAGTGTTATTGAATTCTTAAAATCATTCCAAATCAATATCTTGTCTTTAAAAATCCTAAGGATCATAATTTAATAACCAAATCCTTAGTTTATCAAATTAGAGTTCTTGCATTAAGCTCAAAAATTTAATCAATTAACAACTCTAAATCTATTCCTAGCCTTTATAATTATTAGGTGATTTGATTCAAATCATATTTAGAGATTATTTTTCAATAAAAATATGAGTGATCAATTCATCCAAAACATAAAGCACAAAATCTAGCTAGTTACTAACATTGGATAATAGGATGGATGTGTGTTAATGTGTGTGTATATATATATATATATATATCAAAAGGATTAAAAAAGAGTTTGATAAATTTACATTGAATTCCAATAAGGAGAAAGATAAGCTACTCATGATAGTGAGAGCAAACCCTTTTTACAATGAAAACATAAGAAAAGAAGAATAAATCTCATATCTTCTGTTCCCAAAGGTCTTGAAGCTTTCTCTTCTTTTCAATTCTTTGTCCTTTCTCCAACTTTGATATTTGATTCTATGATTCCCCCTTTTCTCCCTCATCCTTAAAATAGGCAATTTGCTTAGTCATTTCCATTTAGTTTAGCGGATTTTGAATTTTTCATGGTGAAGAAAGCTCAATTCCTTAACCCCTTTACAATTTTCTAAGCCCTTTCTAAAATGAAATTTTCTTGCTCTTATAGGTCAAATTCACTCAACCCTTCTAATTTGGTTGAACATATTTTTCTAAAGCACTCCTTTGCTCTCTAGCTCGAATCAAATCAACCTTTTTGATATGGCTGAGTCTAATAAAAATGATTGAGTAAAATCTTGATAAAGGCTCTCCTTAATTTTTCTCAAATTTCATTGGACAAAATATGCTTTGTCTCAATGCTTTCCATAAATTTAAAGACCTTTGAGACTTGATCAAATCTACAAGAAAATGGGATTCATCAATCCAAAAATCATTAACTCTCTTCACAACTTACCAATTTACACATCTTTTTATTTTCACAATATATTTTTGGGTTAAAACTAATTTTTCCTTTTAAACCTAGCCAAATAAATGTCAAGAAAATTATATGCATCAAGTAAAATTGACACTTATAAAAAATTAAGAGAGATATAAAGGTATAATTTGGAAAAAAAATTAATGTTGTTTAAAACATTAAAAATGAGACAAATATTTACAAACTTTTCTTAAAAATCTAATAATTAAAAAAGAACAAAAATAGTACATTATTTTGGCTATATACCACATGTATGCTCCACCTTAATTACATAATCTTATTTAGGTCGAATGACACTATTATGCATGACAAAATTCTCTTCAAATAAATAATACAATTATACACTCAAAACTCGAGCATGAAATCATTTAAATTAGAATAATCTCATATTAATTAGTTAATTACAATAATTATTTTAAAATACGTTTAAAAAAAACACAAAACATATATGCCATTTTTTTTACGAGAATGGATCTTCTT